TTACTTCAGGTTAATGTCTGCATAAGAAAACAGTGAATATTTGCTTTTATTTTTAAAGAGAAATAATGGAAAACAGTTAACAAAATGTTAGCTATACAGACAAGGAGAGAAAGGCCTCTGCCTCCCCACAAACCTGCCCTCCAGTAGAACATCAGGCCTTTTCTGGAATTGAGAGTGCTAATCAATACCATCTATTGCATTTATTCCACTCCTTTCTTCCCAGATACCACTAAAGCACATGTCACAGAGCTTCTCAGTGCCATACAAGAGTGACTTTGTGTCATCTAAACTAAGGTTCACTATTCCTTGGGTCTTCTCATTTCCAAGCATGATTTTAAAACACCTGAAATACTCCTTGATTTCTTTCTCCCTTTTTTTCTTTGCAAGGTCTACAGAATATGTCTAAGCCTTTTAAATTTTTAACTGAACATATGTCAAAGATTCTCTGAGTTTTGTTTAGAAAGCCGTTAGTTAAGGCTAGCCAAATCCCTATGCAATCCAGTTTAGTGGCAACAGATGAACTCGTCTACACTGTCCACGTTAGACCCGTCTAAACCATCTATCCATGCTGAACAGGTCTCTGCACTTCTTTATCTACTATTTGCATAAAACTTTGAGGGGCACAGGTTAAAAAATGGCTCAGCAGCCTTTATATACATCATAAAAGGCCCAATGAAATAAATTTTGTCACAGCAATTTAATATCATTTAATGTCACACAGCCTTAAAATGGATTTTTTCCAGCTGGCAGTGCTGGAACAGGAAGCACTCCATGAGACACATATTATGAAGGAAACGACTCAAGGTACAGAAAAATGTGAATAGTGAGACAGCAAATCTTTGTTTCTGAACATACACTATGTATCTGCATAAAGGCTTATGGACAGATACACAAAAGAGTTTAACAATGTTTCCCATTAGAAAGAGGGAAGAATTTAAGGCCTAACACTTAATCTCAAGAAATATTTTACCAAATTCATTAGCAGTTTTTTTTAAAAGTAATATTAGATTCATTAAAACTTGTGTCTCCTTGTTGAAGGACTGCAGTGAATGATTCTCCTCATAAATATCATGGTTATATTTTAATACAAAAGTGTACTTATGACCAAAAAAAGGCCAAGAGCCTAAACAGATGCTCAGAAATTTAGTTTCTAAAATGTTAAAATTATTTTAGTAATAGTTAAGTGTCCTTTAAGTCCAAGTAATTTTGAACGCTTCACATTTCAAATCTATTAGAACCTAACATTATCTACTTTTTCACTTAAAAAAAAAAATAGCTGTGTAACCTGATTTTCAAGAAAGGCAACAAGACAAGTATGATTGCAAACAGAATGCCTTTCTAGAATCAGGCAGAATGTGCTCTCAACCTGCACGTTCAAAATCACACTGACTGAAAAATTTGGAGGGTAGGACAAAAGACTAAGAATGAAACAGAATTGAGAATTTCTAATATGACAGTGAATTTAACAGATTCATTAAATCCTATTTGCATATTAATTCCTACTTCCCTCAACTTCAAAATTTTACAGGCAGAAGTTTTATGACAGACTTTTCAAAGAATATGAATAGAATTTTAAAATTTAATATGATAGAATTAAAATTCTATCTTATGATAGAATTTTAAAATTTAATTCTAAGACAAGTTAGCTTTTCCAAAAAGATCAGTCCTCTTGAAGAAATTAAATTTAGAATGACTAACCTGTGACAACACACATTTTCTCTATTTTTACACAGCAATGTTTTTTCAACACAAACTTCAGATACCCTTAATGACGTAACATAAAAACCACAGTCAAAATTCACAACTAGCAGATAACTGAGAAAATCTTGGGTACAGTGATGATTTTTTAAATATAACACCAAAGGCACAGCCATGAAAGAAAGAATTCATAAATGAAGCTTCATGGAAATTAAAAACTTCTGCTCTGAAAAAGACACTGTCAAAAGAATGTGAAGTCAAGCCACAGACAGAGAGAAAATCTTTGTAAAACACATACATATAAAGGACTATTAGCCAAAACATACAAAGAACTCTTAAAACTCAACAATGAGAAATCAAACCATCTAATTTAAAAATGGGGCAAAAGATCTGAACAGACATCTCACGAAAAAAGAAACACAGATGACAAGTATGCATCTGAAAGATGCTCAATACATTCATCATCAAGGAAATGCAATTCAAGACAAGGAGACACCACCACACACCTACTAGGATAGACAAAATCTAGATACTGACAGCACCAAATGCTGACAAGGATGTACAGCAACAGGAATTCTCATTCATGGCCCGTGAGAGTGCAAACTGGTGCAGCCACTTTGGAAGACAGTTTGGCAGTTTCTTATAAACACTCTCATCATGCAATCCAGCAATCACACTCCTAGGTATTTACCTAAGTAAGTTGAAAACTTACATTCACACAAAAACCAGCACCTGATGCTTACAGCAGGTACATGAATAAACTGATGTTGGTTGCGTGAAAGTAACCAACATGTCCCCATAGGGTGAAGAGATAAACTGTGGTACATCCAGACAGTGGAGTACCATTCAGCGCTAGAAAGAAATGAGTTACAAGCCATGAAAAGACATGAAGGAACCTGAAATATATCTTTCTAAATGAGAGAAGCGAACCTGAAAAGGCTACACACTGAGTGAATGCAACCAAATGACATTCTGGAAAACAAATTATGGGGACAGTACAAAGATCAGTGGTTGCCAGGGTTTCCGGGGAGGGAGGACACACAGAAGGTCTCTAGGGCAACAAAACTCCTCTAATGGTGGACACAGTCAGTACACATACCAAAGGGTGCACAACACTGAGCGAGCCCTCCCAGGTGAGAACCATGAGCCCTGTGTAGGTCCACGGATTGTAACAAACGCACCACTCTGTGGGGGGTGTTGATAGTGGGGGACCAGAGATCCATGAGAACTCTCTGTACTTTCTCCTCAAATTTGCTAACTTAAAAAAAAAAGTTCCTGTGGAGATGAGGTCTTGTTATGTTGTCCAGGCAGATCTCGAACTTCTGGGCTCAAGTGATTTACCCGCCTCAGCCTCCCAAAGTACTGGGATCACAGGTTTAAGCTACCACACCTGGCCTGAAAAATAAAGTCTATTAAAGTCCCCCCCCTCCGCACACACACACTTTAGAAGTACAGACGACAATTGTATAAACAGAAAATCAGAAAAGGAGCTTTAAGTAGGCGCTGCCAGTGATTGAATCTAGGTGGAGTATATGAGGATGTTCAATCTCCTATTCTACTTTTCTGTATGTTAGAAATTTTTCAAAATAAGAACTTATGGCCAGGCCTAGTAGCTCACACCTGTGATCCCAGCACTTTGGGAGGCTGAGGCGGGCAGATCACTTGAGCCCAGGAGTTCAAGATCTGCCTGGATAACATAACAAAACCCCATCTCCACAAAAACGTTTATTGTTTTTTTTATTAGCCAGGTGAGGTGGTGTGCACCTGTAGGCCCAGCTATTCCAGAGGCTGAGGGGGGAGAATCGCTTGAGCCCAGGCTGTAGACAGCCTGCGCCACTGCACTCCAGCCTAGTAGGCAAGACCCTGTCTCAAAATAAAATTTAAAAATAAAAAGTTAAGAGAAAAAAGTGGTTTTAAGGATTCATTAAGAGAAAAAAGTGGGCTTAAAGATTCATTAAGAGAAAAAAGTGGGTTTAAGGATTCATTAAGAGAAACGGGAGAACACAAGAAGGCTCAGTTTAACATTCTCAAGGCTCTATCCAGAAACAATAAATAATACGGCTCATCTTTGAACAACATTAGTTATAGCTTCTGCAGTTAACTCTATGGCCACATATAAATTCTCATCATTACATTCAAGAGAGCGGCTGTTTAGAGTAACCGTAGCATTTTGAAATTAAAAAAAAAAGGGGGGGTCGATAAGCACTATTTCTCAAAGACAAGTTCAGATAGTAACCATATTTAAACGTTTAACATAATCAACTCCATTTTCCAAGAGTTGGGAACGGAATTTAACTTATATAGGAAATGTCTACCAAGAAGAAACAACTCCAGTCCCTAAGAAAAACTCTTCTGCTCAGAAACTATTTCCAAGTCCCCAGAAAAAAGATACAAAGCCTTAGCTTCCATTCGACCTTAATGGCATCAGGAAGAAGATGCCAAATGTTTAACAGAAAAAGATATTTTATGACCCTCATTTAAAAAAGAAAGAAAGAAAAGCTTGATTTCTGACCTGAATTTCACGTACATGAAAAGGAGCACTGCACTAGGAAAACGGGAGCGGGGGTGGGATGCCCACATGTAAGGCACACAGGGCCCACCTGGGAGCCCTTTTAATTAAAAAATTCTAGACATACCAAACATATCTCCACACTCGTCAGGCAAAGGCCTTTCAGTTTTCAGTATAAGTGACTTCTGCCAGATTCCTTCAGAAAAACCAAGGATTTACGAAAACACTTGTTATGCAAACAAACACTTAGCCCACTTAACATTGAGCTGCGGTCGTTCAAAGCTGCTTAGCGTCCACGAGGAGGCCGTCCGGGCGCGCAATGATTCAGGCCTTCTCGGCCAGCTCCGCCAGGGACGCGAGCACCCGGTGTGGACCTCCGCCTCCCAGGCCCATGGGACCCACGGGGCCCACGACGCCCACGCTGCGGGGTGCGCGCCCCGCGTCCCCGCTCGCCTGGGACTGCGCCCCCCAAGTAACACGCGTGAGGGGCACTGGGGCACCCCGCCAGCGGCGAGGACTTCGGCAGCCCTGGCCAGTAACTCGGCGAGGGCGTCCACGCGGACCACAGCGGCAACTCAGCCCCGGACCAGTCTCGGGTCAAGTTCTCCCACTACGCACTCAGGCACCCAGCGGGTCGCACCCCGGAGCTACGCAGCCCCAACCTCACCTGCGCGCCCAAACTGTGCCGCCACCTACCCGCACCTCCACCTGCGCGCCCCCCACCTGCTCTTCCCCGGCCTCACCTGCGCGCCCCCGGCCTACCCGCACCCCCCACCTGCGCTCCCCCTCTCACCTGCGCCTGGGCGGCGGCGGCGGCGGCCTGTGGCGGTCCCCACCGCAGGCCGTCCTCATCCTCGGGGGGCTCGTCCAGCAGCACCCGGCCCCGGCCCAGCTTCCACATGCTCGGGCGGGCTCCGGCGTCCCTGCGTCCGTGCGTCTGGCTGTGGATCCCAGTCCCTCCCGGCCGCCGGACGCTCTGCCTGCGGCTCCTGCGGGACGCGGGCCCAGTGGGCCGGGCGGGGCCGGGCGGCGGGCGGGGCGCCCCCAGAACCAGGCCCGCCCCAAACCCTCCCCAGCCCGGCTAGTCCCCCAACCTTCCCCAGAACCAGACCCGCCCCCGAGCCCTCCCCAGAACAAGTCCCGCCCCCAAACCCTCCCCAAAACCAGGCCCGCACTAAACCCTCCCCAGGACCAGACCCACCCCCAAACCTCCCCCAGGCCCGCCCCAAACCCGCCCCAGGACCAGGCCCACCCCTAAAACCTCCTCAGGACTAGACCCGCCCCCAATTTCGCCCCGGCTCCGAATCGCATGCCCCCGGGCAGGTCCACCAGGCCCCTCCTCCCAGTGTGGCCCCTGCCACCGCCCCGGCGAGACCCTCGCCCCTCACTGCTCTTCTGAATGACCTCCTCACCTCAGGCTACCCCGTCACCTGGTTCCTCCCACCTTGGCCCCCACCCACCTGTCCCTAGCTGCTTCCTCACCCGGGAACCCCCCACCCTGAGCCTCCACCAAGCTCCTGGCCCTGCCCTCTCCCGGGTTCCCCGGGTCCTCCTCCACCCCCGAGCCCTCACCTGGCCCCCCCAGATTCCCTCCTCCCCCCGAGCCCACTCACTCCCGGGCTGCCCCCTCCCCCACCCGGGTCCCGGACCCCGGCCGGAGGGCGTGGCCACGTCAGCTGGGTCACCGCAACGGTCGAGAGGCGCAGTGCGCCTGCGCGCCCCTGCCGCTGAGGCCGCGGCCAGGCTGAGGGAAAAGTCGGGGTCGCAGGGTCCACCGAGCGGCGCCCCTACCCCAGCGCTTCGGGGCATTCTTCCGAGCCAGGGCGCCGGGCTCCCGGGGCATCCAGGACCCGTCCCCGCCGGCGCCCGGGGTCGCGGGATAACGGGAGGCGCCAAGAGGAGGCCGCGCCCAGCCCGGATGGGCGGTGGGCGCTTGAGGCGGCGCGGGTCTGCGACGGCGGTGGCGGGGCGGAGATCGGGCCCAGGTCCTGGAGAATGTTTTCCCGCGTGGCTGTGGCTTTGTCCGGGTCAGGAGCGGGACAGGCGCCCACAGATTCCAGCGGACAGAACCGCCTGATTCCCGGGCCGAAAGGAGCCGGCGAGGCGACCCCCGAGGCCGGGACGGAGCTGTGGGAACCGGGATCTTCCTGGCATCGGCAGCGAGTTAACTTTTCCCGCGTTGCGCTTCATATCGCTTCTTTTTCACACCAAATATGTATTCATGTGTTGAGTCATGTAAACGCGCGTTTTAAAGGAGGATGCAGAACTGTGAACTCCCGAGAAAACTCCAAGCTTCGTAACTTTACAATTCTTAAACCATGAAATGTACCTTTTGAGTTTCCCAGGGGTGATGAGCAGCAAAGCTTTTAAGATGAAAAGGGCTCTGAATTGTCTTAAGGAGATGCGGGCCAGGATCCCGGAGAACCGAGGGGGTAGCGCCGGAGCCCAAGGGACTTCGGGGACCTTGGGCCAGGGGCTGGGGCTGGCGGGGACCCCTCAGCCGAGTGGGAAGAACCTAAGGATACTAACCTAACTGTACAGTCACCCAGACAGGAGGGCAGCACCCCCACCCACGCCTCTCTCCCAATGACCGCTAAACCCACCAGCCACAAACATCACGAATAGATTAAAACCACTGGAGCCTACTAAGGGCCACTCCACCCAGCACAAACTAAATCTGAGAGCTGCTTTTCACTCAAATATTAAGAATTAAAAATGTATATATGCTCCTTTTTCAAACAAGTCCACTAGGCCTGGCTTCCTGGGCTAGAAGGCTTAGAAAATTGCAAATGCAAGATGGCATGGTGTGGCTCCGAGGGTGCTGTCAAAATAAACATCCCGCAAGAACAAACTGATGAAAGTCAGAAACTATCAAACAGAGGATGCAAAACAAAGCCAGGATCCAAACACAGCCCATTCAGAGACGCTACACATAAAACAGAAAACCATCTCCGAACACTTGGACAAATAACACAAATCCCCCCCTGGCTAATGAGAAGGAACCTAGGGCTTATACTCAGACAGCTGGCTTCCTCTCAGTCTGGCAACATCCACTCCATGAATTGTCATTACATTGTAAGCCCCTGCAAATCCACGACAATCTGGAAGAAGGCGAGGCTTGCTAAATCAAAAAACTAACTTGTTGAATATTTTAAACATTTAGCTTTCTTCTGCAGAAGAGCACAGCTGGTCGGGATATCTACAACCTAAAGGCCTGACACAAATGAGGGGGAAGGGGGTTGGGTTGGAGAGAAAAGCCCATGAAATGGCTGTTACAGAGCAGCAGGCATTTCTGGAATTCTGAGAAGAACCTCCCCCTGAGTTCTATGAATTTGACTCAGTTCATTGATTAGCTTCTCTATGAGTTTTATATAATTAAATAATGCTATTATTAAAGTCCATAAGAGGCATACTTTACACAATCCAGTGTCATAAAAACAATTGTTACCAGTAAAAATCCATTTTGTGATCGAGAAATTCTTGGTTAAACAATCTTTTGATTTACCGAGGCCTCGGTTAGAGGGAGCTATTAATTTTAAACTGAATTGCTCTTATTGGCTAATTTGGCCCCTGAAAATTCACTGGTACAGAAACTCTAATTTTTTACTTAGTAAAGATCAAGTGTGTCATCTCTCTCTGAATTCAAAACGCATAAGACTCAACTTAATGAGATTTTTGCTCTGGCAAAATTAATTTTAAATAGAAGTGGGGTTTGGGGTGCTGTATAGAACTTTCTAGCAACCAAAGCTGTTTAGAAACCTTAAGTTTCTTATTTACGGAGGTGATTAGGCAGAGGCTGGATCTGAAGACAGTTGTACCCTCATTCCCCTCTTTTTTAGAAAATGGATACATCATATTTTACATATTTTGGGGTACATGTGATTTTTTTTTACAAGCATGGAATATATAATCAAGCTAGGATATTTGGGGTATACATCAATTTGAGTATTTTTCATTTCTATGTGTTGGTAACATTTCAAGTTTTCCTTTTCTAGATATTTTGAACTATACAATACATTGTTGCTAACTACAGTCACCCTACTCTGCTATCAAACATTGCTTTCTAACTGCATGTTTGTACCAACCTCACTTTATTTCTCCCCCAACACATACACAACCTTCCCAGCCTCTGGTGACTACCATTCTACTCTACCTCCATATCAGGATTTTTTAGCTCCCACATGTAAGTGAGAACATGCGCTATTCGTTTATGCCTGACTTATTTCACTTAACATAATGATCTCCAATTCCATCCATGTTGCTGCAAATGACAGGATATGATTCCTTTTTATGACCGAATACTATTCCATTCTGTATAGGCTGACATTTTCTCTGTCCATTCGTCTATTTAGGGACACTTAAGTTGACACGTTGACTCCATATCTTTGCTATTGTGAATAATGCTTCAATAAACATGGGTTTGCAAATGTCCCTTTGATATAATGACTTCCTTTCCTTTGGATAAATACCCAATAGTGGGATTGCTGGATCATATGGTAGTTTATTTTTAGTGGGTTTGTTTGTGAAATCTCTGTATTGTTTTTCATAGTGGCGGTACTACTTTATATTCTCACCAACAGTGTATAAGCATTCCATTTTCTCCACATCCATGCCAGCATCTGTTATTTCTTGTCTTTCTAGTAATAGCCATTCTAACTGGGGTAAAATGGTATCTCACTGTGGTTTTGATTTGCATTTCCCAGATAATTAGTGATGCTGAGCAGTTTTTCACATACTCTTTGGCCATTTGTGTGTCTTCTTTTGAGAAATATCTATTCATGCCCTTTGCCTACTTTCTAATGGGATTACTGTTATTTTTTTACTGTTGAGTTGTTTTAGTTCCTTGTATATTCTGACGGTAGTTCCTTATCAGATGAATTGTTTGCAATATTTTCTACCATTCAGCATGTTGTTTCTTCACTCTGTTGATTGTTTCCTTTGCTGTGCAGGAGCTTTTTAGTTTAGTACCACTTGCCTATTTGTGGTTTTATTGCTTGTGCCATTGAGGTCTTAGCCATAAAATCTTCACCTAGACCAATGCCCTGACGTGTTTTTCTTGCATTTTCTTCTAGGAGTTTTATAGTTTCAGGTCTTACATTTAAGTCTTTATCCATCTTGAGTTAATTTTTGTATTTTGGGAGAGATAGGGGTCCAGTTTCAATCCTCTCTGTATGAATACCCAGTTTTCTTAGCACCATACATTGAAGAGCATGTCCACTCCCCAATGTCTGTTATTGGTGCCTTTATCAAAAATCATTTGCCTGTAGATACATAGATTTATTCCTGTGCTCTTTATTTTGTTCCATTGGTGTTTGTGTCTGTTTTTATACCAGTTCCAAGCTATTTTGGTTACTATAGCCTTGTAATATATTTTGAAGGGAGGTAGTGTGATGACTCCTGATTTATTCTTTTTAAACTCAGGATTGCTTTAGATATTGGTGCTCTTTTTTGTTTCCATATGAATTTAGGATTTTTTTCTGTGAAAAATTATATTGATATTTTGATAGGGTTTTCTTGAATTTGTAGATTGCTTTGGACAGTATGGTCATTTTAACAATATTCTTCCAATTCATGAGCATGGGATGTCTTTCCATTTGTTATATATAAATTTTCGGTGCTGCAAAAGAAGTAGCATTCGAATAGACATTTCTCAGCAAAGCATTTTACTTCTGTGGAAGCATATGGCTCACAGATGGAACAATGGTGAATGCCCACCTGGACAAGGAGGAGAAGGGGTACTTATGCCTGATGGAGGTCTCCCTACTGCCATGTCATTCCCCTATTGGCTAGGGTTAGACCCCACAGTCTAGTCTAATTCTGACTGGTTATTTTAAAGGGAGCAGGCGTAGGAGCCAGAGTGGTGGGGTGGGTAGTTTGGCAAGAAGGACAGTTACAGGCAGGTCAGAGCAGGTAACCAGCGGTCAAAGCAGGTGACCAGAGCAGGTGACTGGAGCAGGTGACCGGGATGAGTCAGGACGGGGCAGGGGACTGGGAGAACAGATGTGAACTACTGATTAGAACTGGTGGAAAAGGTTTACTCAAACTACAAGGAAGTTAA